GAGAACAGCATACTAGAGTTCAAACAAGATGTTACCGAAGCAGAACCCATGTTGGGTATGCGCTGGGATACAGGATCTGACCTTCTGACGTACCGACAAAACCATGACCATCAAGAGGCTATCACCATGCGTTATATATACCGTACATTAGCACGACAATATGACCCTATTGGCTTTTTAGTTCCCTTTCTTGTTAGAGGCAAGCTGATAGTACAATCCTTGTGAAGTCTAGACAAAATTGAGTGGAATGAAGAAATATCAAATTCCGAACTTCGAGCTAGCTGGACTCAATGGGAACAAGAACTAATATTCATTAGCCAAGTTAGCTTACCAAGACATTACATCAAATTGAAGGATTCCACATACCAGTTACACGTGTTCTGTGATTCATCCGAAAAAGCCTATGGAGCAGTCAGCTATCTTCGTGGAGAGCGTGATGGTAAGGTAGAGACGGCATTTGTGATTGCAAAATCCAAGGTAGCCCCACGAAAGCAATTAAGCATGCCAAGATTAGAGCTATGTGCTGCACTGATTGGAGCAAAACTTATCGACTTTCTTGTAAACACCTTGACAATTCCTGTAAGCGGGAAGCATCTATGGAGCGACTCAACTACAGTACTTTCATGGATCACATCAGAAACCTGTAGGTTCAAGGTTTTCGTTGGAACTAGAGTTGCAGAGATTTTGCACTTAACTGATGGGATGGACTGGCACTATGTGCCTACAGCAGAGAATGTGGCAGATGATATCACTAGAGGCATGTCCTTACGAGATATTCAAGCAACCAAAGATGGCAGTATGGCCCATCTTTCCTAACTCAAGCTAGAGAGCATTGGCCAGTGATGCCCAATCTCCAAGATTGCCCTAAATGTGATGCTGAAATCAAGAAAAGTGTTTTCAGTGGGTTAGTCGGTATCAATGTTGCAGATAGTGAGATAGACGAGTTAAAGGACTTTGAAGCACTTATACTCTACCTTGGTCAGAGGTTTAATGGGGCGGCCCCTCAACAACTAGAGAACGAAGCCTGGAAAATGGTACAACTATGCTGTTTCCCAGAAGAGGTTAGAGCCTTAAAGGCTGGATCCTTATTACCTACAGGAAGTCGTCTGAAGCAATTGAGTCCAGAATGGGACAAGGATACTGGTCTTCTGAGAGTAGGCGGAAGATTGCGAGAAGCAAATGCCATTCAGGAGCAAATGAAACACCCAATAATTCTTGATCCTAAACACCATATCATAAAACTACTTATGCGACATGCCGATATTAAGTTGCTTCACCCCGGACCAGAACGAGTTTTGGCAGAGTTGAGAAGGAGATACTGGATTCTCAGAGGCAGAGAAGTTGTCAAAGGACAACAGAGGCAGTGTCAAGAGTGTCAACGTTGGCGTGCAAATCCATTCAATCCCCAGATGAGAGACCTGCCGGCCGCACGGCTACAACTATTTAAACCAGTTTTCCATTGCACTGGAATTGATTGTTTCGGACCTATGCACATAAAGGTTGGAAGGAGAACGGAGAAGAGGTGGGGAATAGTCTACAAGTGCATGACTGTTGGTGCCGCCCACTTGGAGCTATTGGAGAGCATGGACACAGATGCCTTTCTGTTATCCCTACGTAGGTTTATTTCCCGGAGAGGCCAACCGGCTAAGATATATAGTGATTGTGGTACCAATTTCAAAAGTGGGGATAAGGAACTCAGAGCCGCCTTCGATCTGATGACTGCTAATCTTCGAGAAGAACTTCGGCCATACATGGTGGAGTTCCATTTCAATCCCCCAAACGCTCCACATTTCGGAGGACTGTGGGAGAGAGCAGTTAGAAGTGTTAAGACCGCTCTAAAGGTAGCAATTGGCGAACAATTGGTTGCTGAACCAGTACTATTGACGCTTCTTGTCGAAGTTGAGGGAATTCTTAATTCCAGACCGCTAGGCTACACATCAACAGATCCAAGAGATGTAAACCCGGTCACGCCAAATGTTCTGTTAATGGGGCGGCTGGACCCGACCATGCCTCAAGTAGTGTATACCGAAAATGACTTGCTGACAAAGAAACGATGGAAACACAGTCAGGTATTGATGGACCATTTCTGGCGTCAGTTCATCCGTCATTACCTTCCGGCACAACAGATAAGACAGAAATGGTGGAAGGAGACTGAGAATCTCCACAGTGAAGCAGTAGTGCTTATTATAGATCATAACCTTCCGAGGGGGCAGTGGTCAGTTGGAAGGGTGACTAAAGTATTTCCTGGGGAGGATGGTAGAGTGCGATCTGCTGAAGTCAATGTCAATGGCAAACACTATGTTCGCCCCGTCGTAAAGTTGATTAAACTGCCAGAGTTGCAGTAACAGAGTTCCCAAGTTGTTGCTATTTAATTAGCATGTTTACAGTGTTATTTAAATTTAGTACCTAAATTTAGGGGCGGCTGTTGCAAAGTATCTATTTAGTGACTGAGCCCTCATCGTTCGTTGCGCTGCAACGGGCAGCGCACGCGCGTCAGCGAACTTGTTCGCAACTTGTCTGTAAAATGAGGCAATCCAGCGTTCCAACTTCTATATAAAACCTTAATTACCAGTGTTTCGGTATGTTGTAATTATTATGAACCATATTGTTTGTTTTAGTAATATATCTTGACTTGCATAACCTTACTGTTGTGAACATATTTTGTCTAATTAGGTGTTAATAGGCTTTAAAGTTTAGACCTTTACCTAGGCCAACTGACGTTGTTCAGGCTGCCGTTCACGCTGATTCGTACAGCGAGGGGTTCCCTCGTTTGACAAGTTTAGGTCACGTGACTCATACGGTACTTGTTTATTAGGCCTACCTGAGACGACTATTGCTCAGGAGAGTACATACTGTTACTATTTCATATGCTATTAAGTTAAAGATTCATATGCTAGGCCTATTTATTATGCCTTTATTACTATGTTATATTGTTTATTACTATTTTATTGTTTCTGGTTTATTACAGTGATAAATGAACACACACACACATTACCATACACTACCACCACTTAGCTACTACAGTATAGTGTAACCGACGCCACGCACCGCATTACGCAGTACAGTACGCTACTATCCTACGTGAACTCATTTCAATATCACTCATCTACTGAATTGATATACTGGCTTTGAGCAAATACGCTCACATGATAAAGTGTTAATCTCATCTGCAATAATAAACTACCATTGTGTCAACCTGGAACAGTTGTGTACAGTCTGTCATTCTACCGTTATCCGAACCACTATAACAGCACATTAGGTGGAGACATAATATCCCCCCTTTCTTACAGAGGCCTTATGAATCTTCTTGTTTAGTATATTCAGTTTTTAGTGCTTGTCATGTCACAGGTGAGTAGTGTGTGACTAGCGAAAAAATGTACTTGATTAGCAGATGATTAGCTATAGGCAAAGATCGAGAACAGTATATTCTTATAATACTGTCATAGAAAAATAGGCGTACCACTCAATAATAAGAGTCATGTCATTTATATAGCCTTATCAAGCAAGGCATCATCCTCAGGACTTAGGCCAAGGCACATGTATACACACTACTGCTAGTCTTTGGTAATCGATTTATATGTCAACACTTGCAATAAAAAAATGAATATACTGTAAACAAGAGAATTCATACAGGCCTACTTTTACTATAAAGTGGAACCATAAGCCTATTTAACGATGACAGTAAAGTCAAACAATATTGTACTTTCGATGTTCTAATTTCCCAGTACTGTACATGATCGTTCTCCTTCCACCGCTCATAGCAGGTGATATGCAATGCCAGTCTTCAAAAAATGACGTCACGCACATTCTGGCATTTCATTGGGTGATGGTGACGTAATGCCATTTACCGTACCTTTAGCAAAACGAAGTAAAAATACAGTACCGTATCTTTAGCCACGGCGATATATTTTCTGCGGGAGGCTAAGTTGTCCGACAGGGGGACTTGAGCTCGTAGGCTCGAGCTGGGAGAAGGGGTTGGGAGGGGGATCCCCCTCCCAAATGAGATGCGAAAATAGCACTCTCAGACAGTGACAGACATGTGTTGGCTTGTTGTTGGCCTATTTTTATGTTTTATGGTCTGACTGCCCGACGAGCTCTGTCCGGCGGGGAGGGGGGGGCCTGACCTGTCCGGTGGGGGGGCTTAAGCCCACCTGCCACCCCGCTGGCGCCGCCACTGTCTGTAACGAATACCAGCGAACTATTCAATACTGTAGAGAGCCCATATGCATTGTGCCTTCCCATCTTTAAAAATTAGTATACATTGGCCAGCATTTTTTTTTTCGTAGTTAAGTTTGGTAAAATCTAATGAATTATTCATAACCATCCCTATAGAAATATTTTGCGCATGCGTTATTTTCAAGTCTGTATCAGCCTGAATGATCAGCCGCTGTACATTCTGATGGGGCATACGGTAGTTTACCATTTTGGTAGAACGACACACGACGCTCTATTCACTCTCGCTGCCTCTGGATTCAGCCTTTGTGTGAACGTTGTATTTGAATCAATGCAAGAAAAAACAAGTGATTGATAGTAGATTCTGAAATTTATTACATTTATACATTTATATTTACATTTACTGTCAGTCTGAAAATACAAAATACTATTTAATAGTTTTTTCATTAATATTAAAGTATGATTGATAAGCCTACTAATAAAACTCCTCTGTGTAAGCTCCGTAAGACTAAGAAACTCATGCTAGTTTGATTAATAATTATCCAAATATATAAAGCGCCAATTTCAAAGTCAATGATCAAAGGTGCGAGATTACCCCCTGTCACTGGATAACATACAATGGCAAACCAGCACAAAATGCAACATTCTCTGCTCCCTGGGGAGTATACCTAGTCGTTCGCTACTTCTTTATCGCACGAACCTAGTACATTTAATGCCACAACATAAACTTAGATACGATATTTTAACAATTTAAATATATTTTATATATGGTGCCAAAACCTTGGTTCGTATCAAGGGAATATTGATCACAGAAAAATGTTAGAGAGCAAACATGTTCAACTATTGTTTTCTGTGTTTCAGTCCTAAGAGAATGTTGTCAAACGCAGGACATCATAGATTTCTGAGCATTTATTTTGCAACAACAATACATTGCCATTTAACTTTATTTACTCACAACGCATCAGTTATCTCAAAAACTTGCACACTCGTTAAGACACACGTTTTATACATGCGATTTGAAGCACATTATGCACTCAAATACTGTAGATTTTTTCCGACATGCAAACGAATTGTTTTTTAGGCCTATGATATTGCAGGGCGGATGATCATCTATGATGGATGTATCCTTCGCGTGAAAGGCTTCGCCTATCGCAAATCATTGTATTGTGACTTAACTTTGTATTCATTTTTTTATAATATGAATTTGTTTGCTTTGATTGGTTATTGGTTCCTGCTGTTATGAAGTATTTTATTCTGTAAAATAAAATTAAATAGGATATTCAATTATTTGAATTTTGGGAAAACGCCGAACGTTTTACAATTGTGTAAAAAATGATGATCCAATTCAGCTTTAATGAAGCGTAGGGATATCTTCTCATACTTCCTAAGCAAACAAATTGGCAGGTCTTCCGAACTAAAATCCTTAATGATGGAACCAAACGGACGCAAATTGATGAAAAATACAACACATTTTAAGAAAAGAACTAAGGATTTAATTGTAGTAAACATTCAATTATTTAATCACAGAATTCAATTATTTAATCACAGAAAAATTATTTATATTATGTCTTTTGGTGACAACATGCATTATTTCAGATGTAGTGTGTTCGTAACTATTTAGTACTGTATTGTATTTCAGGGGCGGATCCAGTGATGTCCAAAAAGGTGAGGGGGGGGGGGGGGGAAGGGGAGGAG